AACAATCCTTCTGACAAAACAAAAAAGATCCTGCAGTCAAAAGATGTGGAAAAACTTTTGGTGATGAATCTTAAGTCTGTGAAAAAATCTTCAGAAAATTAATGACTTTCTGACTTTTGATCTAACAAAATGTGCAATCGCTTACTCATAGATTGAAAATCCATTTTCCTTCTTCAGCCAGTTGGTTTTCCTGAGCTAAAAAAATAAATGTGAGCATCTGGCTAATGCCTAGGCTGATTTAAATGAATGCAACCCTTGAGAAAAATTTTGTGATTGTCCCTTTGCTGTATAGAAAAATAATTTCAGATAACTTGAATTCCATGATTCCCAATATCAAAATTTCACTCATTATTACTGGGCTTGATTCTGACTGACTATAGAAGCAACATTCATTTTTAAGATTGAAACTTACAAAAATCAGTTACACAAGAAAATGAGGTAGATAGTGTGCTGTGGAATTTACCCTTTTTGACATGTTTTTTTTTTTTTTAAACATAGTTTTGTAAATTATCTTGAAAAAACAATGTAGCCTTTCTGTGAGCAAGTCTCAACTTACATTACTGGTTTTCCCTAGTTGGAGAATTAAGGATAACAACTAATGAATAACATGAAACCATTTTTAGTGCATAAAAAAATATAGTTTTATGGACAAACAAAGAAATGTCCAATTGTGATTTAAATATTAGCTATATGTACCTGAAGAATGTTTAAAAATTGAAGTCCCTTTAGAACAATTGAAGCTGTTTTGGGATTTCATTTCATTACTAAAGATATACTGAGTGTGAAGTTGTTGATGTGATTTCAGCTACTGTTGACTCCAGGCCAAGCTAAAGATTATTCTGAAAGTGAGAGAAGAAAACAAGAAAAATGGAATGCTATCCAGTTTTAAGATCCACACAACATACACAATTTTTAAATGTTAAACTTCCACTAGGCTCCACCAGTGTCTGAACTTGCTTACACTCTAGTACAGAAAAAAAAATGACATCCTGAACATCATTGATTGCAAGCTGATTATAAATCAATTATCTACTAAGAAATCATGCAAACAATTTTTCTACTATACCGTCTCCATCTGTACAGTGAAAATGTATGGTGAAATGTTTATTAGATACTAACACAGACATATTAAAAAACTGAAAAACTCATTTTAAATAATTCTAATATCTTCTTGGAAGTTAAATTTAGATTTTAACAGAGATAATACACTAAAACTAATCCAAAACTGAATTTCCATATGTAAATAAATTTGATTATTTACATTATTCGAACTATTGTCCTCATCTTTGTCGCCATATTTTTTACAACATTTCAGCCATTGTATACTCCAGCCTTCTTCAGGTGGTTGGAATGTTGAACTGAACCCTTTATTTTGCTCACTGGGGTAGACTGTTCTAGTTCCACGTGCCATGTTTTAATTTCAGATGGAAATTAACAGGAGATAACTGATAACTGACATTCATTAAAATATGGCATGTGGAACTAGAACAGTCTACCCCAGTGAGCGAAATAAAGGGTTCAGTTTGACATTCCACCCACCTGAAGAAGGCTGGAGCATACAACGGCCAAAACGTTGTAATAAATATGGCGACAAAGATGAGGACAATAGTTCAAATAATGTAAATAATGTACATAATACCTCATCTCAGAAATATAGACAGGTAAATAAAGTTATCGACATTTTTAGAACAGTCACTCCTCAACTCTTGGAATTGTATGACAAAAAAATAAACAGCAACTTTAAAAAATTCAGTATTTTTGACAGATATTTGTTTTGATATTTAGAATATTTAAGGGTTAATTAACTGAATTTGCTTCAAACATAGTAAGAAAAAATTATCTATTTATGTACAATAGCCTATAGTAAAATAATAGTTTTCTGCTCTTACCCTGGATTTTAAAAAGGAGACAAATTTTTTTTAAATTTTAAAAATACCGAGGTTTAACAGTACAACAATCAAAAAATTAGTATTTTTTATGTTTAAAAATAAATCGCTTCACTTTATATCATTACAAAATATGAAACTAAGCAGTAGGAGCAATTAGTTGTTCTTCTGAATGTTAACATCAGGATTGTAGTTTTCTTTTGAGGCATTAAAACTTACAAGACATTTTTCCCCAGTTAATAAATGATTGGAGGCCATTTTTGAGAGTAGTTTCCAGTTTTATTTTGTTGGACCTATCTGACTTACTATTAAGGCCAGAGTAAATAGTTTTGAACTAAGCATTTATGCTGGTGACATTTGATAACATTCGGGAGGTCATTGATAAAGATAAGAAACCACGTAAGTTCAAAGGATAGAGCTATGGAAGAAGCCGTATTAATGTGAAATGTTCTAGAAGTATGGTCATTCAACATGACTTTCATTACCCTACTTGTTAGAATGATTTGGATTAAGTTAAATATCTGGCCAGACACACCATAGCCCTTGAGCTTGTGAAGAAGGCCAGCATGCCAAACCCTGTCAAATGCTTTTGAGATATCTAAAGCCGTAGCCTAATCATCACTGTTCTTATCAAAATCCTGCTAGACAAATTCAGTAATAACCATTAAGGCGTAATAACAAAAGCCATAGTGTTTATCTAAAAGAAGGCCATATGAACCAATTCAGGGTTGGGTAGAGCCTCTGGTACTTTTCCAAAAAGAGGTGAAAAACTAATAATTTGAAGTATCGGAATGTTCTTAAAGGTAAGCACTATAAAAGATTTCAAACAAGTTGGGAAGTAGGAAATAGCAAGACATTTGTAGTGATATTTGTAGAGAAAAGGAACCAGTTCAGGATCATATTTCATGGCTGGAGTTCTGTTCCTATCACTTAGTAGAAATTCCTTTCTAGGGGGAAAATCAGGCAAAGATACTCCTGAAGAGTCAAGAGTGGAATTGGGCGAGAATTTCTGAGCAAATCATTCTGCTTTATCAGCAACAGATGACAATAATAATTGAAGGGAGGAGGGATTGAGAATTTATTCTTGTTCAACATATTCTTACAGAGCCACCACTAATCTCTAGAAGCAAACTTGTAACTAAGTGACTTTGCCTTGTCAGGAACACACTTACACTCATTACAAGTGGATACAAAGAGGCATCTATTATCATCAGAACTGTCACATTGGTATAACCAGCAGAAGTGATTTCTGTGGGCTCTAGCGGCTGAACAGGCAGGAGTGACATAAGGAGATGATTGTGGTTTCACTTAGTATTTCCAAGCTGGCATGAAAGCTTCAATGCCTGCTTTCACACAGGAAGAAAATTCAGTACATAATTTTTCAATCAGATAATTAAAAATTTAATTCCAGAAGAACCAGACTCTGAACTGCACCAGTCATGATGAACAGAGAGATTTCCTTGGGGTGGCACCATACCTCAAAAGACTATTAGGGTAAGTCTCACCTGACATCAAGTGGAACTCGTACATACAATCCACTGCTAAAGATGCAGGTAAAATGGTCAGCTTCCTGTACCACTCCACCAAGTACCTGTCTCTTCCTGTTATTCTCTACATTTACAAGGGCCAGATTAGGCCAAAAAACTGTTGTTATATTTGGGTGAGAGCAGCCCAGACCTCCCCCTCCAGCCTTGATAGTCCAAAAGCATCTCCTTGTGGGTGACAGATTATTTTCCACCTCTAACCTCTCTCTTGCAGGCAGGAGGTGCTAGGCCTCTCACTGCTCTATTGCTACTTCCATGGAAAGTACTCGGACGACCTACATTCCCGGGTTCCACCAGTTCTAACCTTCATGGCAAGGAGCCACCATGCCACTTACATTGTAGCAAACCATCCACATTGCCTCTGTATTCCATCAGTGAGAAGTAAGTTCCATTTGAACAGCTTCTTCCTGCAAACCACTGCTCTGTGGAATTGACTCCCAAGAGGATGTTTTCCTAATCACTACACTCTTAATCTGTTCAAATCTAGGGTTAACTATTATCTTCCCCTCCTACCTTTACAAATTACCTCAACGTAGCCCTCTGCCATGAGTTGCTATATCCTTGTACAAGGTAAACCTTACTTTAAAAAAAAAAAAAGAAATACATACACACACACACACATTTTATGTTTAAACACTGATTTTGTTGAAAAGTACTAATTATTTATTGACGGTTTATATTTTTATTCTTGTGGATGGCTTGATAAGAGCCTTTATCCACTGTGCCATATAGAGAACTTTCAAACGTAAAATTAACAAGAGATAACTGATAACTGACATCCATTAAACATGGCACATTGAATTAGAACAGTCTACCCCAGTGTGCAAAATAAAGGGTTCAGTTCAACATTCCAACCACCTGAAGAAGGCTGGAGTGTACAATGGCCAAAACATAATAAATATGGTGACAAAGATGAGGACAATAGTCCGAATAATGTAAATAATGAATCATAATTAAGTTAATGATTGAATAAGCCCTTGAGAGTTTCATGACTACAAAATAACAATGGAAATTTCCTAATTACATAATTACATATTTGAGTTTAGTAACTTTAAACAAATATTACAATAACAATAATAAATATGAATGCAGGTCATTATTTTAAGAAGTAAGAGGCTACAAATGAAAAGATTTGAAATTAACAAGATTTCCATTTCACTGAAGCAAACATTAAATACCTAAATGTTATCACCTCTTTTATTTTTTCTTTCTTCCTTTCTTTTTATTACTGAAGCCAAACAGCATCTCTGATATGTCTTCTCTGTTTTTCCTCATGATCACATCCATTATTTATTATTGTCTGGGTGTAATGTACATGCTAATTAAGGACCATGCAGAATCATAACATGATTATATAGATAATAGCTATATTCTATAAGTAATACTTCATGACCACTGACAATACCTTTTTGATTTTCAAAACACATTATGCCAATTGAATGAGAAACTTGCTAATATAACTTTGATGGAAAATTGAGTTGTACATTTGAATTGTAAACGATTCTATTTTTAAGCATTGTTATGGTAAGTTTCTTTCATTTCCCTATGAATGAACTTAATCTTCTTGCAACAATGTCACATTGAAACACCGGTTTGTATTTGATCACCGGAGTTAAGCAATGTCAAGCTTAGTCAGTACCTAGACAGGTGACTGCTTGGGAATACCGGGTGTTGTAAATTTGGATGTGCAGGTGGTGTAATGGATAATGGCTCAGAATTGGAAATTGGAGATCCGAGTTCAAATTGCAGTAGTTATTTTCACTTATCCCTAATACCTTTGGAAAAAGTATGAAGTCACTTCTTCTCACCCCAACTATGGGTTAATTAGTAGACTTGTATCAGTAAATCATATACCCTTTGTAACTTCTTGATGTCCCTGAAGTTTATTCAAATTTGCTATCTCGCAGAAGACATGTGTTAAAAAATTTAGCTTCTGAAATTCATACTTTTTATATATGGTCCTATGAAGTAAAAGTATTTTGGTTTCTGATTTTTTTTATACTAATGTTCACCCAATACAAGAGCCCATCAAGATAGAGGGCTACTGTGTGATGTTGTATGAGCATAAGAAAGGCCAAGAAGTGTTCTTGCTTCCAGGAAATGATTTAGTTTTTTTTTGTAAAGTTATAATCAATACAGAAGGTCTTTCTAAACATTTTTAAAATAATTTTTTACAAAACATGACTTGTTAGTGAAGCCAAATTTATAATTCAAAATGTATATAATAAAATAATTCAATGAAAAACTTAGTTAATAATTAAAAAAATGAATGAGTAATTAAAGTTAAGTTTGAAAAAACTGTTCATATGAATAGAAGTTTTAATGTGTTTGTTTAGTAAATTCTAATGCCATGGATTATATCACACTCTTGTTATAAATAAATGTCAAAATCTAATGCATTTTTAATTGATTCAATTTTTATTTATTTTGACCCTTTTTTGTTACTTTCTGACTTCATCTTTTGACCCCTTGATTAATTTTTCAAAGCTCCTGTAATATGTGTTCAGCACTTATATTAAAATAAAATGAACACTACAGCACACTGCCAATTTTTAACGTGTTTTAAATGTATTACTTCATTTGATGTTGACTGTTTCTTTTTTGCTTTTGTATGTGTATTGGTGCACTGGGGACTGCTGTTCAATTTCATAATGCATTTCACAGTCACAAGAAAATTAAATATTTTCCAATGTACGAGAAACACCTTTGGCTAAGAGCTACCCACATTTTCACTCACACACACCCTGGAGTGACTGTACTTATTCCCTCCATAACATGTTAAGCAAGTATATTGTATCTCATGAAAAATATAGTGAGCATCTACTTTGAAGAATTCTATAAAGATAGTTTTAATATTTACATTAAAAAAACAAAAAAATCAATAAGATTTTAAATTTGGAAAGTTTTAACTTATCAACTATAAACATAAAGAAAAAATGAAATATTTACAAAGATTATGTGCCCTGATTTAAAGATTAAATAAATAAGAGTAAACTGCAAAGAAGCACCTATTAATTCCTTTTTTTGGTAAGCACTTGTGATAATTTGCTTGAAGTCATTGTATTTATAAAGATATATTAAACATGGACATAATATATTTCATCATGAAATATCCAAGAAAAATTGCATACAGAAAAACCTTGGCATTGGCATATTGGATACTTGTTTTTTATTAAATATAACTTTGTGAAGTAATGGATAGTGGCGCGGACTGAGGAATCGGAGAGCCAAGTTCGAATTCCAGTCAGATCCATTATATTCACTTATGTGCAAAAACCTTTGGGAAAGGTATGACTCTTCTTTTCCCACAGTTATGGGTAAATAACAGGACAGACTGGGTTGTATAACCTTGGGTGGCAACTAGTCTAGGAGATGGAAAAACTCTAAATTCAAAACCAGACTAGAGAAGGTTGGGCTCCATCAGGCTATCTTGCCTAAGAAACACTACTTCTACTGTGGCTGCAGTAGACATGGTGCCCCTACGGGTCACAGGATAACCCCCCCCCCAAAAAAAAAAACTTTGTTACTCTATAATAAGTATAGAGGCGCCCTGTTGGGATTTCACTCACTACTACTAGGCTACAAACATTGTGGACCATTATACCTCAGTGAGATATCATTTATTCATTACTACATTTAGCTTACTTTTGGCACATGAGATGTAATGTTGAAAGGTTCTCAGCCTGGCTAAGAAAGGAATGAACTTAAGCCATGAAAGATTAATGTTACTTGATCACTGAAATTTTTCTCTGTTGCTGTTCTATCCCCACCAAGCAATTCTTTCTATTTAAACTCAGTTAATTTAATGGAGAGCATCTTGTAACCATTAGCATATCAGAGAAATTGGTGAAGTGAGTTTGTTATATTCACTTTCACAGAAAAAAAAAACCTTGAGAGTAATATAAACCTATATCTGCTCCTCAGAAGAAATAGTAGAGTAGATGCCGGACTCTGTCACCTTGAGGAACAGTCGAGTCAGAAAATGCTGAATCCAAAACCAGTTTTAAGAGATAAATCTTGCCTTAGACATACCTACTACTATGACTACAGCTATAATACTTGTGATGTCCCAATGACCTTTTCTTTTTAAAAAAAATAATTGTATTGTGGTTATTAGCTTTAATCAAGTTTGAACTTAGATAGCCTTACTATTTGCTCTTCTAATTAAAGTGAATTAAACGCATGTCAGTGTATGATGGATGAATGTCTAGTATTGTCGTCATCACTGTGGAATTGGAATTCTGAGGCTATTGCATTCACTTTCACCCAAATACCCTTGTGAAATGTATATAAATTCATGTTATATGTTAAATAGCAGTGGAGACTGATATCTCTAGCCTTAGTTGGCAACCAGTCTAAGAGAAAACCAACTCTGAATTCAAAAGCAGTTGGGCATGTGGCTAACAATTCCACCCTGTATAAAAAATACTTACGATAGAACCCATAACGGCACAGCAGCAACACTTTGTGTGATGAGACAGTAGCTGTATTATTCCCAAGATAGTGTGAGAGAACTGAGGAGGAGGGGGAGGAAAGTTTTCTCCAGTGTCACTTGTGGTGAATAAATACAAACAATAGGAATTATTCCAAATAATGCCATACATGAAGAACCCACAAGATAAATAAAATGAATTCTTCTCTCAGACAAAGAATAATCTGGCAGATTGTCAGTCAATGTTATGACCTTGTGCCTGACAAGAATGAGTATCTTTGGTCTGCAAGATGAGCTTACACTATGTCAAAGTTCCCTAGACTTACCTATGTTTGAGAAATACACACATATTTGTGACCTTAATGAAAATGGGTTTATTCACCTTATATTCACTCAGGGAATTATCAGGTAGTAAATCGGTATACTTAGTATTTGGACATAAAAATAAACACTGCATGGTGAATATAATCTTCATGCAAGATGGCCTGAAGATTGTATTTGAGCATGAAATAGAACATTGCCACTTGGTGTTGACCTCATCCTTTACTTTTATATTGAGTACATTTACTATATTTCTATCATATATATATATATATATATTCCGTTTTTACATTATTTTTATAGATATAATTTATTTAAGTAAATGCAGTGTAAGAAGCAGATATTTTCTATGAAATTTCCCAAACATTCAGGCTGATAGATATAATTAATACTGTTTAATTAAAAAAAAAATACAAAAGCATATACTTAAATTATATCTATAAAAATAATGTATAAACAGAATATATATATATATATATATGATGGACTCTCCCACCAATTTAGATGTATGAGGATCTGACAATCTCATTTAGTTTTTATGTTTGGCTTGTATGCAACACTTCAGTCCCACTAGTGACCTGCATACAAGTTCATGGATTGTAAAACAGTGAGGATCTTGAGATATAACAAGAGAAACATTTGCTGACATGTTTCGCTGTTGTTGATTAAGCCAGTCAATACAACTGATTTCAAAATGTCTGATGTCACTCTGGCACAAATATCTTCAGTTACTTCTATTCAGGGCAACTTGCTCAATAGTATGAGGCACATTAACACATGAGAGACATTTTATTTATATAATACACACACACACATATATATATATATTTGGTTGGATAGATGTGAGTTTGTGACCCTGGGTTTCACGCTGGGTCACAAACTCACATCTATCCAACCAAATATGTTAGCTCTATCTCTGATATTGAGTGCTTTCTAATAAGTACCGTGCATATAATATATAAATAATTATATATATATATATATATATATATATATATATATATATATACACTTTCACACACACATATATATATATATATATATATATATATATATATGAAGTGGACACTGAAGTCAACACCAAGCAGCAACAATCTGTTTCATGCTTGAAAGGAATCTTCGTTTTTTTTTTTTTTTTTTAATTTAAAAAATTTTTTTCAAGCTTAAGATGCCATCACCAATGGGTTTTGACCTCAGTGTCCACTTTTATATTTATATATCTACATACTATCTCTGATATTGAGCACTTTTACCTATATACCTTAAAACCATATCTTTATAATATATATATATATAATTTTAAGGTATGCTATATTTATGGTTAAAAGTGCTCAATATCAAGGATAGAGCATATGTAAATATAAAAGTGGACACTGAGATCAACAACAAGTATTATCTTAACAGTTGTTGGGTAGACAGTAATACTTATATCTTAAATTATTCTGAAGGTTATTGAGTAGAAATAATTACAAATATACACAAAAACACAAATGCAATAATTATAAACAACTAATAATTAATGAGTAAATGCAAAATACATTAAGTAATAAATAATGTTAAAAGTTAATGAGTAACATGATTATTCAACATCCACAAATAACCACATTTGGTCAATGATTATTTCTACTCAATAGCCTCTGGAATAATTTGAATTATAACCATTACTGCCTACTCAATAATTATTAGGATAATATAAGAAACTGGAAGCACCTGACCTTGCTACTCATAATATTCTATTGACCAGCATATAGGAATAGTCAAGCCAACACTGAAGATTGTATTAAAGCATGAAACACTGTCACCACTCAGTGTTGACCATAATGTCCACTTTTATTCATTTCTGGATCCCCTCATATCATATGGACCTGATGGTGTCCCTGTAATAGTCCTCAAGAAGTGTGCTTCCCAACTGGCTGCTGCTCT